TGGCACTGTATTTCATCAGTGGAAACTGGCTCTGCAGAGTCTGTATAGTTTCTTCATGCCCACTAGTTGCTGTAGTCTGAGATGTGTAGTTGCTAGAGGCAACCCTGACATTAATGTAGTGGTGGTGGCACTGTAAGTCTGCTGGAATAGAAATTCAGGACTTTTTTTGTTCTTTCTGATGCTAGTATTTCTGAGAGTGATTAGGCAGGTGTCTGTCATTCCTTTTAAGGCCCTTGGAAGTCGAGAAGACAGGAAAAATATCGGCATACATTGTGACAGCTCCATTCAAAACAGATGGAATAACCTGGCACTCTTACAGCTTTTATTCTAGGAGAATGCTGTAATTGGTGTCTTGAATTTGCACTACTAAGTGGATTGCTGAACTCTCTATCCCTTTTAACCTAGCTCTGGCTCCCAGAGGTTCTTAGGTTGAAATTAAAGGTGTCCTTTATTTCTCCACTGCCCTAAGGGCAGTGGTATTTATGTTTGTGTGAACAGGAACTCCAGAATCCTTTTCTGCTATTGCATGGTTTCTTTTTTGAAGGGTATGTCATGTTAATTTAGGTCATGTGACTCCTCTGAATGGTAATAGGTATTTTTCCTGATTTACTCTGCTTATGTCTGTTCCTGCCTGTCCATGCTCAGATCATAGAATCATAGAGTAGCCTAGCTTGGAAGGGACCTTAGAGATATCTAATCCAACCTCCCTGTCGTCTGCGGGGATGTGTCTCAACTAGACCAGGTCACTCAAGGCCTCATCCAACCTGGCCTTGAACATCTCAAGGGAGGGCGCATCCACAACCTCTCTGGGCAATCTGTTCCAGAGTCTTGCCACCCTTGTACTGAAGAGTTTTTTCCCAAGATCCAATCTAAATGTATTCTTTTTTAACTTAAATATATTTTCCCTTGTCCTGTTTGTGGACAGTCTTGTAAGAAGTCCCTCCTCAGCCTTCCTGTAGGTTTCCTTCAGGTATCAGAAGGCAGAAGGTACCTGTGGAGTCTTCTCTTTTCAAGGCTGAACAATCCCCGTCCCCTTAGCCTATCCTGTAGCAGAGATGCTCCAGCCCCTGGATCATCTTTGTGGCCCTCCTCTGAACTTGTTCCGACAGATCCATTTTCCTCTTATGGTGGGCATGCCAGAACTGGACAAAGTATTTGAGACGGGGTTTCACAAGAGCAGAGTAAAGGGTGAGAATCACTTCTCTTGATCTGCTGGCCACACTCCTCTTAATGCATCCCAGGATACGGTTTGGCCTCAGGGCTGCATGAGCGCACTGCCAGCTCATGTTGAGCTTCTTGTCTATCAACATCCCCAAGCCCTTCTCTTCAGGGCTGCTCTCAACTCACCCTGTGCCCAGTTTATATTTGTGCCTGGGATTGGCCTGACCCAGGTGCAAGACCTTGCGCTTTGACTTGTTGAAGCTCATGCAGTTTGCACTGGCCCATTTCTCCAGCCTATCAAGGACCCTTTGGATGGCATCTCTTCCCTCAAGTGAGTCCACCGCACCACACAGTTTGATGCCATCAGCAGACTTGCTGAGGGTGCACTTGATGCCACCTTCTCTTCAGGGCTACTCTCAACTCACCCTGTGCCCAGTTTATATTTGTGCCTGGGATTGGCCTGACCCAGGTGCAAGACCTTGCGCTTTGACTTGTTGAAGCTCATGCAGTTTGCACTGGCCCATTTCTCCAGCCTATCAAGGACCCTTTGGATGGCATCTCTTCCCTCAAGTGAGTCCACCGCACCACACAGTTTGATGCCATCAGCAGACTTGCTGAGGGTGCACTTGATGCCATTGTCCATGTCACTCACAAAGATGTTGAACTGCACGGGACCCAGAACAGAGCCCTTGTCTCTGGTCTCCATGTGTACATTGAGCTGTTGACCACAACTCTTTGAGTGTGACCTTCTAGACAGTTCTTTATCCACCAAGTGGTCCATCCGTCAAGTCCGTATCTCTCCATGTTAGAGACAAGGATGTCATGTGGGACAGTGTCAAACGCCTTCCTTTTCCCATGTAAAGCAGCACTGTAGTTTTGGCATAGAAGGCCACGATTTGCCCTTAGTGAAGCCATGTTAATTGTCACTGATCACTTCGTTATTTTTCCTATGCCCTAGTACAGCTACCAGGAGAATCTGTTCAATGATTTTACCTGGCACAGAGGTGAGCCTGACTGATCTATAGTTCCCTGGGTTTTCTTTCCTTCCCTTTTTTTAAAAAATGGAGTTTATGTTCGCCCTTTTCCAATCTGTGGGAACCTCACCAGACTGCCATGACTTCTCAAATACGATGGCCAGTGGCCCAGCAACTTCAGCTGCCAGTTCCTTCAGGACCCATGGATGTATCTCATCAGGTCCCATGGACTTGTGCACCTTCAGGTTCTCTACGTGTTCCCGGACTTGGATGATTCTTCATTCTCCGAGCCAACGCCCTCTGTGACTTGGGTGGTGTGGCTCAGGTGGCTACCGGTGAAGACTGAAGCAAAACGTCATGTCAGTGCTGTCTGTTCATATGCCACTAAACTGCCAAAATAGTTAGGTTCTGCAGGAACACTGAAATTTAGTAGTCTTTTCCTTTTGTGCACCAACCAGTTTGTTACCAGCTGTTTATTAAATCTTGTGATTGCGAGTCTCAAGAGGCTTTATACAGCTTTCTTTTTCCCTTTAAAGCTTATAGAAAGCAGGTGAAAGGTAAAGCTGTTGGAAGGGTGCTTAGAGCTTGAAAAAAATTTAAGTCCACTCTGACAAAAATGTCTGATACTAAAAAATGTCCCTGAGCTAAAAGCTGTCTTTTGGGATGTATCCAGAAAATGCAAGGTCACTGCATTCATGTACCTCGGGAACAAAAACAAATTTTATTTTATTTTACTTTAAAAAAATATATCTGTGGTGGTAGAACTGACAGTAAATACCAGGATAATTTGAAGAGTATTTTGAGTCCTATTTCATTATTATGCACTTTGAGAAGGCAGACATGAGAAGACCTTTCATATCTCAAAAAGAAACAGAACATCCCCTTTTTTTAAGTTTAAAAATGAGTTTGTAAATTCACTGCTGCTTTGTCTTGAAATAAGCTATTTTTTGATTAGTATAGCTCCTTTTGTTGATGTCTGTGCCTTTCAAAATGAGCTGAGCTGCGCCTTTTTTGCTTTGAACAGAATTTTGTCAGTAATCGTTGAGAAGACTGAGAATTGTCTGGAGTTGCAATTAAAAAAAAGCAACCCACACCTTTGAAAGCCAGCTTCAAGGTGTTCTATGCCACGGGGCGCTGCAAAGGCAATGCCTAGGTGGCTATTAGTAAAAGTCCCAGAATAACTTCCTTGAAAACGCTTGTGTAGTTTGAAAAAATAAACATTTGGTCTTTTCCGAGTATATCATCAGTCTTAGATTTAGAGGAGTGTTCAGCTGCCTGATTTTAGATGAGCTTGTGGTATGGGTGATGGGAGTTATTTTTGGATCATACTCTGTAAGTGAATGCAACTGGATCCTGCAAGAGCTATGAAGAAGTAAGTGGCAGGAAATTTTCAAGTAGTTCTATACATCTTTTTGGTGGAGGCTGTATCAAATTTGCTTGGAATGAGAGGGTGACTATTTCATCCACCATGTGAAGTCAAACAAGTAATCCCAGTTCCTAGGTTCTCAAAAGAGCCTCATTGAATATAAACCTTGCTTGTGTATCTTCATCTGCATCTTGATATTCTGGTTCTTACTGGTTCCTGCATTAGTTGTTATTGATTTGTATCTTGGTGTTTTGTGTCAAGACTGTTTAGCAATCTCTCAAAATCAAGGATTTGGAAGTGAGTTACAGAAGCAAAGACATGGGTCAGATAGTGAGCCCTAGTGGCCAGTATCATTTCCTTCAGACCCCTCTGTGGAATAAGGTGTTCAAAAAAGAATTGACTGTCTTTGTCTCATGCAATTAGTCATTTTGTTGTACCGTACCACATCTTCATATCACATATATTTTTTCATCCAAATAAATTGCAGGTTTACTTTTTTGTGTTTTTTTAATGGAAAAGTAGTTGTCACATTTTCAATACTGATAGAAATTATTTTTTGCAGTTTTTTAATGTGTAATTTTAAAAGAACAATAAAGGAGGTTCTTAGAAGTTAATGTACTCATAAAATATTACTAAATTTCATGTTTATATGAAATCCTATTTTCTAAGTTACATTCTTTAAGTGCCTGTGCAGTCTTGCTTTCAGATTACACAAGCATAAGGGAGATGAACACAGCTCAGAACACTGTGAACCTTATTTTTTTTCATGCTGTTACTGTATGGCATCACATAGAGGTGATCTCTGTTGGAAAATATGCTTTTGCAGCTCGACATTGAAATTATGCCTCTTGTCTGACCCAATCTGAGAGGCAATCCCTATCCCGATGTTTTAATGTAAACACAGTTTAGAGAATACACTGTATTGAATATGTAAATAGGCAACTACAGCTTCTTTTCTGTGGATCAGCTAGAGTATATGAATAAACAGAATATCATCTGTTGCCTATTTTGGTTTTAAAGAATGTCTGTTCCTTTGGAGTGTATAGGAGCTCAGAAGCACAACAGAAGTTGAAGTCTCTAGAGCAGTTTGTATGTTTCAGTGTTGTAGTGTTTTCTTTCTTTAAACGCGTGAAAAAGTTCCAAAGTATGTGTTGCTTCTATTCCTAATTAAAAATCCAGGAAAATTTACTTTTATGTATGACCATTACCTTCTAAGTATTTACAGTGTTAAGAATGATTTGGTAAAATTGGCATTACTATGAACTTTTTGCTCCAGCAGCTCGAGTCTGTCATACTAGTTATTTGTTCATTGCTCTAGTGTATATTATTGCAACTAAGGTGATAGAGTGTGCTTTGCGTGTAACAATATATGTGCTTACAAAGGTGTGATTTAGCCTGCTTTTAGAAGTTAGTTGCCATCAAGTTATATTTTAAGAGTAATTTGCGCTGTGTAAACAGATTTATTTTCCAGAGATGCATATTTTTTTTTAAAAAAAAATCCAACAATCTTTTTTTCAGGTCCTTTTACAGATGTAGTAACTACAAATCTTAAACTACGAAATCCATCAGAAAGAAAAGTATGCTTCAAAGTGAAGACCACAGCTCCTCGTCGGTACTGTGTGAGGCCGAACAGTGGAATTATTGACCCAGGATCATCTGTAATTGTTTCAGGTAAAAATAAGTCTATGCAGTTGTAGGTAGATGCTTTTAGGTTCTCTAATGCTTGATCTTAGATAGCATTTGAAGTATGTCAGCTTTTTAAAAAGATATTTTTAATAATAAAACTGATCCCCTTCATTAGTGCAATGTCAACTTGATACAGAGCTGCAATGATACATGAAAAATCCTCCATACAGAAATACTTGCATTTGTCACATTTATCTACAGCTCACTGAAAGGAGGAGAAGAAAGTTGGAAATAAGCAGTGACATTAACAGTACCTTTGTTTCAGACTGCTATATTCATGTTTGTATCTTGAAGTAGGGCATTCCTTGGCTGCTCTGTTTTAAATTTAACGTTTGACAGTTCATTGTGTTTTAAAAAAACCTTAATTCTCACATTCATTCTCAATTGTAGACTAGTTGTTTTTACCTTAGTATTCCCTGAATAGAGGAATTTTTTCATAGTTCTTTTGTCATAGTAGTGTATGTTAAGTGGCAATCACTAAATTGCTTTAAAAAAATATTTGTTTTTTAGGTACATAGGGCAGTTTGTAGCCCTTAAATTTGAAAAACCTAGTATGCTTCTCTATAAAGACACTTTTCTTCTCATACTGCTTTTGCTTTTTGGTGAGGGGATTAAAAAATTAATCTATTCTTGCCAGAAGACTGAGAGTCCTGAAGCCAGCCAATATTTTCCTGTTTTCCATGAAACTCCTTGTATGTCTGTCTTACATATTTAATTCTGAAAATCTGTAAAATTTTGATATCTGGGTATATTATGGTCTAATTCTTTACTGGGACTGTACAATGTCAGGAAGATCAGGTGTTAATCATCAGAATAGATGTTCTTAAGAAAATGGGAAAATACCATGGTTATCAGTCTGCTGAATTTTCATAGGTCATTCCCTGATCATACTAAGGTAGGAATCACCAGAATAAAGGGGATTATCAAACCAGGGCCTGGTGTTGGGTATCTTTCACATGGGTAGCCATACATCATGATCAGGGTATTGCTGGACCTCCTCTCCAGGGAATCGAATATGTTGAAGTATTCTATTTACCTATTGTAAATTGTGTTTTCATAGTTATAAATCATCCTTTCAATGCTTTGAATATTTCATTTTTTTAAATGAGTCAATACTGGATCTGTAAACAACATTTCAGCTTCAGTTTCAGCAATAAAGGGAAGCAGTATCATACTGCTCAACTCTTTCAGTTTCCATAACATGGAATCTTTGATATCCCTTTTACTATATTACTGGATTCTCATGCTACAGTGACCCCAAGATGCTTTTATGTGTATTAGTTGCAGTGACTCCACAATGCTTTTCAGAATTAAATTCCCCAAAGTGTCAGCTTCATCATTTTGGTTTATTTGGGTTGCTTGATAAGGCAAGTGCACAGGTAGTTTTTCTAGTGACCCACTTTATCTCCACTCTCAACTTAATGTTTTCAGTCCTGACTCATCTTCCATATAGTTAAAAAGATTTTTCTCACATTATGCAAAGAGAAATCACTATAGGATAGCATGGGCTGAAACTTTGTGTTCAAAACTAAATGTTGAGGTAGGGTTAGCTGTCTTCAACCTGTGTAATGCATCATGCTGATTCAGAGTCAAGCCACTTTTTAAATTAATTGTTGCATATGTGATTTACGGGTAGGTGAAAAGCTGAACGTAAGCCAACAATGTTCGCAGCCCAGAAAGCCAGCTGTATTCTGAGCTGCATCAAAAGAAGTGTGGCCAGCAGATAGAGAGAGTTGATTCTGCCCCTCTACTTGACTCTGATGAGACCTCACCTGGAGTACTGTGTCCAGCTCTGGACCCCTCAACACAAAAAGGATATGGACTTGTTGCAGCAGGTCCAGAGGAGGGTCACAGAAATGATCAGAGGGCTGGGTTGTTCAGCCTGGAGAAGAGAAGGCTCTAGGCAGACCTTACAGTGGTCTTCCAGTACCTGAGGGGGACCTACAAGAAAGCTAGGGAGGGACTGCCTACAAAGGCGTGTAGTGATAGGATGATGGGGAATGCTTTTAAACTAGAGCAGAGTGGATTTAAATTAGATATTAGGAAGAAGTTCTTTGCTGCGAGGGTTGCAAAACACTGGTACAGTGTTAAAGATGCACCTGTTCAGTGCAGGGGGTTGCAATAGATGACCTTTGAAGGTCCCTTCCAACCCAACGCATGCTATGGTTCTGTGATTCTATGATTTAACAGTCATTTTAAGGAAGCCCGTGGACATTTTAGTTATCATTCAGTTGTGAATCACTAGGAAACCTTCTTCAGCCATGTTTATATGTCTTATTAAAAAAACCCTACTAATTTGGTACGACCTGTTTTTCTTTACCTTGATGTCCAAAATAACTATTTATTATTGTGTTATGTATTGCTTGTTGTTAAATTGTTCACAACAATTGCTTGTTGATTTTTCTTTTGAGAATACGGTGTGTTACTCTTCTGTCATAGATGGTTATGTCTTTCAAGTTACTCCATCTGTTCCCTTGGCTTCAGGAAACTGAAGGACTGCTTGCTATTCAGTAGTCTGTTGATGGAACAATTCTTAGACATAAATTGCTGTAGCATCCATACCCAGAAGAAGCATTTCATTTGATCAGTTATATTTTGGACCACAGTGTGACCAATGATTAAGGAAACCTGATTATTATACCCTTCAAAATAGGATTGTATGAAAACATGTCTAATACTGTAATTACTTTATGTGCTTTATTTGTGAAATAGATCTGATTCAGTTTATTCACTTATCCTTTCTTTATGGTGTTTAAGGAAAAAAAAAAGACATAACCATTCTCTAGCAAACACCTGCAACTTGTAACTAATATTTAAGGCCTAATGTTTGTTAGGTAGCAGTGTGATTAAATTTAGAAGTAACCTTTTTTCAAAGATACTAGTGAATTTGGAAAGGCCAAGTTAGTAATTTTGATAGTGTGATATTGTACTTAGTATTCTATAAACTAATGCAGCTCAATCCTACAATGAGGAATTTACTCTCTCTGTGAAGGAAAGCATGTTGAACTATATGTCCAATGAAGATTCAGAATTGTAGAAAATACAATTGAATTATTAGAAACCGTAGCAGTATTGAAGCGTACAGACTGAATTAGAAGTTCCTGGGAGTTGTCAGCATGGATTCACCAAGGGGAAGCTGCTAGCCTTCTGTGACATCATAACTGTCTGGTTAAATGAGGGGAGAGCAGTGGATGTTGTCTACGTTGACATCAGACATCGTCTCCCATAACATCCTCATTAGGAAGCTCAGAAGGTGTGGGTTAGGTGAGTGGACAGTGAGGTGGATCGAGAGCTGGTTGAGTGACCTCAGAGGGTCATGATGAACGGTGCAAGATAAAGTTGGAGGCCTGTAATCAGCAGTGTTCCCCAGGAGTCAGTACTGGGTCTGGTCTTGTTCAATGTATTCATCAGTGACCTGGATCAGGGCGCAGAGTGTATCCTCAGCAAGTTTGCTGATGATACAGAACTGGGAGGAGTGTCTCACACACCAGAGGGCTGTGCTGCCATCCAGTGTGATCTGGAGAGGCTGGAGAGTTGGGCAGAGAGGAGCCTAATGAGGTTCAACAAGGGCAAATGTAAGGTCCTGCACCTGAGGAGGAACAACTCCATGCACTGATACAGATAGAGGTAGCGCTGCTGGAAGGCAGCCCTAGGGAGAAGGATCTTGGAATCCTGGTAGACAGTAAGTTAACCATGAGGCAGCAATGTGCCCTTGTGGAAAAGAAGGCCAATAGTATTCTGGGCTACATTGACAGTGTGGCCAGTAGGTCAAGGGAGGTCCTCCTCCCCCTCTACTCTGCCCTGGTGAGGCCACATCTGAAGTACCATGTCCAGTTCTAGGCTCCTCAGTTCAAGAGAGACAGGGACCTGCTGGAGAGAGTCCAGCAGAGGGCAACAAAGATGACTGGGCAACTGGAGCATCTCTTTTACAAAGAAGGCTTGAGAGAGCTGGGAATGCTTAGCCTGGAGAAGAGAAGACTGAGAGGAAACCTTATAAATGTCTATAAATATCTAAAGTGTGGATGCAGGGAGGATAGAGCCAGACTCTCTTCATCAGCGCCCAGTGAGAGGACAAGGGGCAGTGGGCACAACCTAGATGCAATCCTGTGTAATTGTGCTCTAGGCAATCCCTGATCTCACAGTTCCCTACCAGTGATGTGTTTTTTTTTTTTCCTTTTGAGCTTGTACACTCTTCAGAATAACTTTAGAAACATGGGTTTTTGTTCTTGACCAACAGAGTTTTCAACTTTGGAAAGCTGAAAGCACAGTAAAAAGACTGTAATTTGTAAAGTCTGAAACACTTGCATGCTCTACCTCTGGTACTTGTAACACAAACTATGTTGTGTCAAAAACATCTGATTTCATCCAGAAGGGTGGTTTATTTTTTTTTTTTAAAATCTGCCTTACAGTATGTTGAAAGCTGACAATGCAGTGAGAAAATACATAAGATAAAATGCAAGAAATGGATATGCTTCATTTAAAGCGGCCTTTACGGGGAATTTGGTTTTGAATCCCACCCCCTTTCTTTGCTGGTAAAATGTGTTGGAGGCCCAAAACTTGCCACAGAATTCAAGTGCGTGCCTGGATTTTGGAGTACTTTTGAGCAGATGTTAACTGTTAGACTGGACTTCAATAGTTAAGAATGTCAAAACTGTAGTAAAATGTGCAGTCGTGTAGTTATTAGGTAACTAATCACTGTAATTTTTTTTAAGAGCTCAATTTGAAAGTGTTTTAAAGATGTATTATTAAAGTCCCAGGCAGCTTTATCTTCTATAGTAACTGCAGATTGAATGAAGTATTTTAGTAGCTTTGCTTCCAGTTTAGATTAATATACATTCAGAGGTCAGTTGAACTTGCTCCACTGCTTGGTGGTCTACCTAATGTAGACCCCTGTGCTTTTTTTTTTTCTTTTCTTCCCCTGAGTAACTGTCATGTGTGTTAGAATTCTTTGACTGACATACAATATTTGTTCATTCACACATGTATATGACAAGTCTTTTAGCTATAGTAATTACCGAAATAATCTTGTCAGCTACCCCAGACTCTGGAAGAGTCTAAGATCTTCCCTTTCAGTACCTGTTGCTATAGTGTGTATCTGCTCTATTTTCAATAATGGCTTTGCATTTTAGCTTTCAGTATCTGTTAAGTGAGAGGCAAATTTAAAGTGGATAGCATGCTTATTACAGTTATTAGCTGAAGAATCCGTTCTATGCTTTATTTTTTCTTTTGAACAGTAATGCTGCAGCCTTTTGACTATGACCCAAATGAGAAGAGTAAACACAAGTTTATGGTACAAACAACCTATGCACCACCAAATATTTCAGATATGGAGGCAGTGGTAAGTAAAAATGTGGTAAAGTGACTAAAAAGAACTTGCCCTTTGAGAGTGTGTGTAGGCTCCCATAAGCATGTATAGTAAGGTGGAGGGGAATGACGAGCAGGCTTCTGTCTCTAGAAACAGTTTTAAAGAATGCCTGGGTTTACACAGGTATGTTCAATATTCATTCAAGGGAGAGGAGAAGAGGGGAAACGAAGGAAAAAGTTGAGGTTTTATAAATCACTGAATTCCACTAGGCACCTGCAGGTTCAGACTCTGTCCACTTAATATGAATGGAAAACATACCATGGCATCACTTTTCACTGGAAACGGTCGAAAATCTGTAAAATTTTGTTAAGCTTTTGAGACGTATCTAGAAAGTTAACATCTCTTCCTTGTTGGTCTGGCTTATTTTTCTTAATATGCTCTGATAGCTCCGTGTTATGTGTGGTAAGTGAAGCATAGCTATTTGGTGAGGATGTAAAAATCCACTTTAGAAATCCCATTCAAATAACAGCTTTCTGTATGTTCAGGTATAGAATACTGAGAAACAGATCTTGTAGAAAATTGGTAATTGCAGTTTTAAGTTGGTGTACAACTAAGGCCACTAAAAAAAAAACCAACAACAAAAAAAAGAGGATGTTATAAAAAGCCTGAATATTCTAGTCTGTAAGACCTAAAGTTCTAAAGTAGCTTCAGATGACCTGCTGGAAAAATTGCTCAGTCTCTGAGCCTGAAAATTTAAGTCAACTACATGAAGCATATACTTTGAAAGTTAATTGGTAGTTGAGCAGAAAGCTTCTAGCATATTTCACAATTATTTAAATCTGTTGATAAACGTTAGAATTTAAAATGTTCTTTATATAGAGAGCTTTGAAAAATTCTTTAGCCCCAAAATGTAAAGTATTATGCAGTAAAAGGAGGAAGTTGTTTAAAATATGAAGGAAGTTAAGAAATTTACTCTGGAACTAAATACAGAGTCACTAAAAATCTATCAATCTTCTGTTTAAAATTGGTGCTTCCAAGACGGGGCATAAAGTGTACGTTTACAAAGGACTGATAGGCTTAGAACTTGGTTCTTAAACGCATTGTTCAGAAACAAATTTGAAAATTGCAGCTAGGGTAAGGACAGTATTCAGCTGCATAGGAGACAGGTGCTAAGAGCAAGCTTACGAACTGTTCAGTAACTGTATTAATTGTTTTAGTGGAAAGAAGCAAAACCTGATGAGTTAATGGACTCCAAATTGAGATGTGTGTTTGAAATGCCCAACGAAAATGATAAACTGGTAAGTAAGAAAAGAGTAAGAAGCTGTCATACACTGACTATTAGGATCTCACAGAAATTTGTTCTCAATTTTTTTTTTCGAAACTGATGTGATTTGTTGATTAAATAGATTGTAGGAACTGGTACTAAATTAAATGGGAGGGTTGTTCAGTATATAACTTTTCAAAGATTAATAGAATCATAGGACAGCCCAGGTTGAAGGGGACCTTGAAATACTGTTTGGTCTGGCCTTTTGTTGGAAAGGGAGCACCCAGTCCAACTGCATCTTAAAGACCTCCAGCAACTGAGACTAGTGCAAAAATTATTTTGCATTCATTGTTACTGATTTGCTTTATTTTATTACTGTTGGATTAAAAAAAAGAATCTTCAATACTGAAAAGTGAATTGCATCATTTTTAAAGTATTAAATGCTTTTCAATTTTCAGATTTCTTTTTCTAACTCAACTGAATTAGAAAAATAAATGCTGGTTAGAAACTAATTCATACTTTGGGAATGCTAAATGCACTTTTTTGAGGTAGTGGTAAAGATAGACAAAAAAAAAATCCCATTACCTCTTTCAGGCTCTTGCTTTCAGACAAAATCTATTCCAATTGGCTAGATGACAGTTTCATTGTATGTAGACTGAAGATGTCTGTTTTGTGTTTCCTGCTATTGGGGATAGTAGTTATCTATCAGTTACCTAGTTTTGCAGAATATTACTAAATTCCTATGTATTAACATTTTTTTTACCCTCATACTTTTGAAATTCTAATTTACAGAATCTTAATACTGTATATTCTGGGTTATTTTTCTGTTGCTTTGGATTTTTTTTGTGTGTGTGCTTCTTTTAGTGCTGTGAATTAGAGTACTAAAGTAGTATGTCTGTAAACAACCAAGCTTATTCAGTGTATTATGACTCTGACTGCCCAGGTGTAACAATAGTCTCTAAGGCATGTTGGGGAAAACTAGCATGAATCCGTGCATGTAAGAACTGTCACATTATTTACATGTATAAAGGGTCTCAATGAAGGCTGCTAGCTGGCTAGTAGCCGTCTTTGCAACCATTCTTCTAATACAGTTGTTTGAGTGTAATGTAAAGATATTTTTCATATGTGACGTCAGTGTATGTTGTTTAGATTTTTTTTCAAAAAAGGATAATCTTTGAGATGCAGCCTTTCATTCAGGTGTAAGCTGCCTAAATGTGTGTGAAATGCTAAAACTGTAAAGGTTAAGCATTTATTATCAAGGCACATAGTTGTCTACTTTTTGTGGGTTTTTTACCTAGATATTAGAAAAATTGTATTTTTTTTTCATTTTATAAAATATGTAATGTAGTGAGAGAAATGTAGGTTTTGTATAACCCACTACCTCCTTTTGTTCTTTCTTTAATGTGATATCTTCATAGTATTGACTGTACATAATATTTAAATTTTTCTGAGTAGCAGCATAGGGTTGCAAAACTCTGCTTAAATCCCTTAAACCTGACAATTAAAAAAGTCTGCCAAATCCTGACGCTAAGTCTCACCTGCTGCCTCAGGATATACCTCCATCAGGACACAAGCATTTCACTCAAGTGAGCAACAACTTTCTTCAGATGCCTACCAGTCATAGTCAGAAAATTGACATGAAAAAAACCAATCAGTGTGGTCAAACAGCAGAAGGAGGTTTGTTCTAGGGAGATAAGTCTTTAAGTGTCTAGTCAAAGGTGCTACCAAAGGAATTTTGTTCAGCTATTCTGTTCAATTAAAAAAGGAACAGATCCCGATGTGCTTCCTCTTGTTATAAATATGTTTGTCTTTTAAAATCCAGTTAGGTGTACCAATGTGGAGTAGCAGAATCTGGCTCTTAGGCTCTCTATGGCTGCATTGCAAATGCAAGTAGATGCTGTAGATGAAATAACTGCTACTTGCATAGGAACTAAAGAAATTCTCACATCTTTTTTTAGTTGGTTTGTTATTACTTAGATGTGCCTACATTTTAATAGATTTTCTGTTATGTTTAATACTTACCTGGGGCTACTTTGGTTGTGAAAGATGCAGTATGGTGGTGGTCTAAATGGCATCGCTCTGTAGCCAAGCAAGCGGGCGTACCGAATCCCGAGTCTGAAGTTGAGTTGTTTCTGAGTGTATTGCCGTATGAACGCTGTGTTTTTACTGATGGTAACCTGGGCTGTACAGCTGAATCTATTCTGTTATTAATGTCTGCTGAAGATCATAGTGCATTTTGAGCAGAGCTGTGGGAACTAGATTTTTAGTTTTGTTTTTGGATTTTTCACAGCTTTTTTATGTGACTTCTCACTTGTATTCAAAATTAGTAATGTATATTTCAGAGATGCTTTGAAACTTAAATTCCATGTTTGTGCAATACTTTATTTTTCTTCACTAAGGTGTTATAAGTGCAAAATGATAGTGCCATACATACTTCATCTTAGTTTGTGACAGAACCTGTTTTGTTTTTACTTGGTTTTAGTTTTTAATACTGCAGAATTACTTTATTTTTTTTTCCTTCAAGTTCAAATGCCATTTGGTGTGCTTTATCTTTCGGGTGCCTGTTAGACCAGTGTTAAGCAGCTAAAGTATTAATTTTTGTCGCAGTAGCATGTAGTACCAAATGTAAACAGTGCAAACTTCTTACTTTTTAATATTTGAGCTAATTGCCATTGAACTGGTAACAGAAGGTTTTGTTCAGAACTGTAAATATAAACTTCATTGAACCATATTATAGTTCAGTATACAGCTGAATTGATTCAGTTTTAAGCTGTGGATGATTTTTCTCTAGGTAAGTAAAATTCTCAAATCATTCTTAATGTTTGTAGAATGATACAGATGCAAGCAAACCTGCCCCAGTACTGAATACATCTAAGCAGGATGGACCGATGCCAAAACCACATAGTGCTTCACTTAATGATACTGAAACAAGGAAGCTAGTGGAGGAGTGCAAAAGACTTCAGGCAGAGATCATGAAGCTGACGGATGAAAATCGGCACCTGAGAGTAAGTTCTGCTTCCATGTTGATGTTGAAGTGGCTTCGCTATTCTTGATTGAAAGGTCTGATTTGTAATTAGGCCAATAGAATGTCAAAATCGATTAGTAATACAGTTTTCCTATCCTGAATATACTGTATATTCTGAACTTCTCAGTGATTCAGACTTTGTGATTGCAAAAGTGGGTCAGTGGATACTGAAGCTACATAATTTTCTTCTTACATGGAATGGTCCTACATGAAGTGGTTTTAATTAAGTCTGAGGTACTAGCTTAGTAGCTTTTACTAGAAATGCATTATTATTCATTAAGAATGAGTAAATGAGATCCAAAGTAGTAATGTTCAGTATCACAAATTTTTAGTGAATGGGACAATTGCTTGGCCAGAGGAAGTATGCAAACATTATTTTTATGTAAAGGTGCCATTTCAGTAACCTGTAACTAGTCAATATGTGACTTTATGTGACTTTTTCATGTATTTGCATTTGAGTATCTGACAATTTCATTGGACATGGTAGCCTTTTAAAGAACTATGAAATGATGGTATCTCCACACTTGTAATTCTGATTACATTGAAACATTCTGAGAAACACTACACAAAGCAGAGGGGCTTTTTTAACAGTAAGGAATCACTACTAATTAATTCTGACACATAGTAAGTAAAAGCAGGACTCTCCACTGTGCCTAGCGAGAATTTCAGAATCTTTCTTAACCGGGGCATGGAGAGAGACTAGTGGATTGCGTGTCCTTGTCTGAAATATTACGGTTTTCTGTGTTCATATTTTGCGTGTGGTGTAATATATTGGATTTTTTTGTTTGTTTTGTTTTGTGGTTTTTTTTCTTTAAATATTTAAAGTATCACCAGTAAATTTGGCCTTTGAGTTCAGATGGTTACAATTGTAAACAAGATGTATTCCTAATTTTTTTTTCCGTGCTTTTTTCCCTCCTCCCTCAGGATGAAGGCTTGAGGCTCAGAAAGGTAGCGCACTCCGATAAATCTGGATCACCTGCAGCTTTGGCCCTCAGAGATAATGGCTCTAATTCTCTTCCTTCACTTCTTGTCGTAATTGCAGCCATTTTCATTGGATTCTTTCTAGGGAAATTCATCTTGTAGAAAGAATGAGTAAAAGAAGCATGCAAAATGCAGCTTCCTCCTTTTTTTTTTTTTTTCTTGGCCAGAAAAAGATTTGTTTACCTACCAAGTTCATTGGTAGTATGGTCCAAGTGACCATTTTTGTGTACAGCATCATAACAGGCTTTGCCTTTAATGATCTCGCACGGTTAGAAAACACAATCCGAAAAGACAAACTGTTCAGCTACTGGACAAAATTGTACATTAAGTCATCAATAGCAGGTGTCAGTCGCACAGTCAGTCCTTTATGAAAATTCATAAATAAAGAATTGTTCTTCTTTCTGTGGTTTTAATAAGAATTCAAAAATTGTTCGGAGTCTTGTAAATGTTATTTTAATAATCCTTTAAAATTTTATCTGTTGCTGTTACCTCTTGAAAAATGATTTATTAGATTGCTAATCCCACTCATTCAGGAATATGACAAGAGGTATTCTGGGGGAAATGGTGCCTCTTACTGTGTAAATTTTCTCCTTACCTTACTTTGCTAATATCATGGCAGAACTTCTTTCTTATTCCTTGTGAGGCATTGTTCAGAGTTCTTCATCCATACAATCCTGTCCCATAATATTTAACATTACAAAAGAAATAAAATTGTTAACAGATTTCTCTGCTGGGTAGCCTGTTTGTGTGTGTCGTACTTTTAGAAGGGATTCCTAACAAGTTCATTGTTCATGATAATTTGCTACTTGTGACAAATGGCTGTTTTGAAGTTTATTTGCTTAAGTCTCTGGCTTAGACTGTTGTAACTGAAGCTTGGGAGAAAAAAAAAAAGGTTTCCATTCCATTTTTTTAAACATATGAACTGTTTTCTGGCTTCTTTCAGCTACAAGAGAGGATGGTTCTAAAACTTGTTTTGGGACAGAATAATTTTGATACCCAGCAGGTACAAATACCAGACACAAATGTTTTCAATGTATTAAAAATTTGCTTGGACTGTGCTGGAGTGTAAGAATCAACCTTCTGTTCTATCTTTGGATCTTCTGGGTGTCTTCCAGGAGTCAGCATGATTTTCTGATTTCATAAGGATACTTAATTCATATATATTTACTTACTTGCTTTGTAATTCTGTTTTAGCAGATATTCACAAATGCAATTTGATTCATTCAGACACCCACAGTGAATTCCATGATGCAGAAGAGTTGATATTTGCTGACTGAGCCTCAGTTGCTCACCCTTCGAAAATGAAAATAGTTTTTATGCAACTCTGGCAGATCTGCCTGTGTTAACCATGTATAGCTGAGTTCTAAAGCACGCATTATTTGGCGGTCTGAAATGCTTCCCTGCACTTCATCTTATGGCTTGCCTCATCTCTGAGTATGTCATAAAAACAAACAGTAGTATTGGAACAAAATATTATCTGTACTTCTCACTAAGCATAGTCCAATACAGGGAATTACTTTAAACTGAAAAATTGCAGAAGGGGTGTAATCCTGTAGGCAAAATTGTGTATGCTCCTGGGCAGCTTGACTTGATGTGGTGCAGCTAAGTGTGTTAGACCTTGGTATATGCACACTTTATGTAGCTGAGAAAAATGTTCTGGAGATGTATGTTATCTTGGTTGCCTTTGATTTCTAGTGGGTTTTTTTTGTTGTTTTTTTTTTTAAATTTTAATTACATCATGTTCTGTCATTTCTCTCTGTGGTAAACTTTTTTATAAAATCTTGCACACGTGCAAGAAAGATGATGAAGAAAATGCAAATATTGCTTATCTTTTCACTTAAGCATGCAAGCACAGATGTTCCTAATTACTTGTTCCAGTGTCTGCATTCAAGTCTTCTTCCATCCCACTGACTGGAAAGACTATGTTAAGGTCTTGATTATTTTGGTTCCACTGGTTCAGAATGGTGTAATTCTCTTGATTTTTTTTTTTTTTTCTTTAACAGAACATTGCTACATCAAACTTTCATAGCCTCTTCCAGACCGATTACGTGGAAAATAATGAAAGCAATAGCATGCAGGATCTAGTTTGCTTCAGACAGAGCAGTCATCCCTGCATTGAAGGGGAAAAAAATAAATCCTATAGAAGATCTTTAAATGTTTACAGCATAGCATATGGAGGATTTCAAGGGTAACTAGCACTTTCAGGACTTGAGAACAGAAAAAGGAGTCATTGCTTAGTGCAGCTGACTCAGGTTTTGATGTCTGGCAGCAGAAATAATGTAAAAATAATGATAAAATCTGATTGACGTAACTTCATAAATAACAAACATGTGGTGGTAAAACTTGGTCATTGTTTAAGTAATGTCTTCAACCTGAAAGTGAGCCGTGGTCTCATAAACGGTGTACTGACTAATGGTATAAGGACACTGTCTCGGTTTCCAGTAATCCCTTCATAGCTGTATATAAAATATAATGCTGAAACTTTTTTGCTCTCAGGAGTCACTTTGGATGAGATCAACTGTATTCAGTGAATTTTGTAATATGGATTAAATAGTTTGTCCTTGTTTCTGAAATGGTTAGAACTTCTTGCTTTGTCTGCCTGCTTACTTGTGTACGTAAGCACTGGGAAACACAGTCTCGCCACTGTGCCTAGTGATACGATCAGATAATGATGTCCATAATGTTGTGTGAGGCTAAATGTGTTACTTCAGTTAAATATGTGTTGCAGGCTGCTCTTCTGATTTCTCAGAAGGGCAAGGTAGAACAAGTATACAGTTTCAAAGTAGTATTTTAAATTTTTTATGAATATAGCACTTTAAAAAAGGCTAATATGATGGTTCAGGGGGAAAAGAAACCAGTTAAATAGAAGATACATGTTCTGTAGTAATTCTGGGCATCAAATGTAACCCACTTAAAACATATGAAGTTCATTTAAGAAAAAGTTATTTGTATCAATACATGAGTTATTTTTGCATTTCTTTGCATTCTCTAAAAGCATTTGACAAATACTGTTGCCCGGACTTGCATGTTTCTGCTGCTATGACTGAAGCCGATTTACATACAAGAAGCAACCAAACACTAACTTGAAACTTCCTTATCCTCTTGGGAGGAGGGAGGGTGGAGAGGGGAAGTGGAGGGTGACATTTTGCCAAAGGGGAAAAGACAAAGTCAATAAACAAAACTTATATTTCAGGCCTTCCTCAAAGATATTAAATGTTGAAGTGTTAATAAACAATTAAAAAATGTAGTAGTGTCCTTTTTCTTTTGGAACTTCTCCGTGACTATGTACATTATGTAGACTGCTGATACTGAATAGGTATATGTAGATGGTGTAACTGTCCTGCTTCTAGGGTACTGCTAGTAAATAGCATGAAGCTCCTTTGGACGAAGATTAAGTGTTGGAGTGAAGAGCAGGGGCCTGAATCCAGGCAACAGAGAGAATGCTGATGGTTTTTCAGATTTATGAGTCGTCATGACAAGGAGTTTTCTTTTTCCTGTTTGGAGTCCCTTATATTTGTCCTTGAACTGACTTGCCAGGGCAAATGTTTGCTTCAGTCTGTGGCAAAAGATGGAATGAGCACTGTGCAGTTCCGGAGCAACCTTAATAAGCGTTTACTATGCTGTTGAAAAGCCTCACTCTTCCTGTTTGTAGGTGGGTTGAAATTTTGTAGCTGTCTTTTTAGCCATGTCGCTGTGAACAGTAGCTCACTGCTTTGCTTTCTCTGCTGGGTCCTGTCGAATGGCTTAGCAGGGTGTGTCCTGGAAGGCACATCCTTCCTGTGTAGTGCTGACCATTGCCGCCCGGGTGGCTCTGTCCTTGCTGGTACTCAGGTTCCGTAGCAGCTTTAGACTGGTGGCACATTTAAGTTTTGGACAGCAGGGGGAGCTAAATACAGGGGTCAGTTTTCAACAAGGGTTTGAGTTCCTGTAGGAAGGACTGAAACTAAGGATGTTAATGATGAATAAATGAGACCAATTTCTTTATTTCCTGTCTGAATTTCTTTTATGTGGGTACTCAAATAATATAACCAAGTATACGACTGAATTTGGACTGTTGTGTTTTTCTTTGTGAATGCAGGTTGTGTATGTTTAAGAAGAATTGCTTATTCTGACAGGGCTGCATAAGCAGAAGTAGTGATGGTGTTGCCAGCTCTATTTATTTGGCATTTTAGTGACAAATGGCTATATGGAAATGAGGTCTTGTGCAAAAGCAAAACAATTGGTTCTTGTCTTTTATCTGCCTTTCTCATTACTGCTAGATGGTAAGGTCAGTGCACATTCCTCATTTGCTGGGACATTTGCTTGTTTCATCCGCTATAAGTTATGTTTTAACTAAATGATGGTGTAAGCATCTCCTTCCATATTACAGTGCCTTTTTATTCAAAGCTTGGTACCATTTTATGTAATGTTGATAGCACTGCTAGTAGAGTATTGAATCCCTGTTTACACTGCAGCTACTTCTGCTGCTGGCAGTGGTCTTTCCCTCCTTCTTCTTTACAAAAGATTTGAAGGGTGTTACGGCATTCAGGCACAGAGGCGTTAGACAGCTGTTATTATAGCTAAGCAGTCTGAACTCAGACACTTGAAATAAATGAAAGATTAATTGAAAGGTGACTGAAATAGTTATTCTTATCTTTTAAATTTGTGTGTGAGCATAAAAGCATGAGTTGTTTAGTGGTATTTTTTTAAAGTTAGTCTGCTTATCCAGGTTCTGCAAAAAAAAAGTAACACTGCAGTAGTCTGGAAATAATTATTTCAGGATATTCTTATAAGTTTTTACTAATGCTGGTGCAGATTCATACACATAGACGAATTCAGACATTGTTGCTGTTGATCGATGTCTAGGCTGCTCTCAGAGTGGATAGTAATTAAATAGCAATATTTGTGTCTCAGTCTGCCTTGTAAGGATGGCTTATCCTGGTTTTAGAGCGAGGAAACTGAGGCACAAGTGTTGGGATGAGTGATTGGGAAGAGATTATTTAGGCACAGCTTCTGTTCTCTAGCACGCACCGTCCTGTTTCTCATTAAGCGTTCCTTGAGCTTCTTCCAAGTCTTTATTTTGTTGGATTTTCAAAATGCTGGTTTATGTTGGTTGGAAGTCTTTTCATATGCTTTTAAAGCACTTTCCTAAAGACTTAACTGCTGGTGTGTTTGGTCCTGAAGCCAACTGTTAAACATGCAGCAAACATGGCTATTAGAGAGGTGTGGATTGTGCTCATTGGTATTATAATGCTTGGGCTCAGCTAAAGGACACTAGAGGGAAAAAGAAAAATAAAAGATAGTAAACATTTGGTCATGTTGTGTTTGCAGTCATGGAATAGAAAAGTGTATCTGTGTAGCAAAAAACTTCTGTGGAGCCCGTGTTGTTTGTACTTTTCAGGTAAAAGAAAACAAATAGCCCAAAATCTGTTCAGCTATGCTGTTCGTGTGATTATATATTTTTATATATTTTACTCATGAGAGTGGCAAAATATTTTTTCATTGCTGATATACTCTGATTTTTCAAGGCACTTGGAAGAGCAAAGCACTTGTTCAGGTTTTTTAAAAAAAAATAAAAGTGTTTGACTCCTGCAAGCAGAGGGGCTCCAGCAGTGGAGCTTAAATCTGTTCATATGCTTTCACTCCAAATAAGTAAGTGCTTTGCTGTTACTACTGCTTTTTAGACTGCAGTATGCTTTTGCACTGGTGTGAGGGCTATTTTGAGGAATAGTAATAATGAAAA